CCTCTTTGCAAATAGTCACGAGCTCGGGTAATTTTATTGACCTGTACAATGCGCTTATTAAGGCCGAAGAACAAGTGTAAACCACAAATCAGGAAGTTATTAAGAGCTATTTTGCGTTTGGGAAAAACTTGAGAATAGGTTCAAGTATTATAAAAAAAGTAATAGAGAGTGTAAAGCTCAGAAAAAACTTATCGATGAGGTCACAGAACAGCTCCCTAACGACCTCTCGAGGAATGCAATCGAGAAAAGACTAGAAAGGGCAAGAAAGATTTACTACCTTTCAATAATATTGGATATGAGAAGATACAACTGGTAAAATCTTATTCTGCATTGAGAATTTCTAAATTAAGTTGGAATGAGATCGATGCTATAGAAGAAAAGTTTGAATAGAGATAATCGTCATTTATTACACCAAGACACGTGACTTCGTTAACTGACTCAGTCAAGAAATTCATAAATTATTTCATAATGCATGTATTGTTTATTTATGGGTAGAGCTCAGTGTCTTTAACATATAAAAATTATAGTCACTTTGTATTGCGAATCAATAAATTTTCCAATGTATTTTTTTAGTTATACTAAAGACTTTGCTATTTCGTATTTCGTTAATAAATAAGTGTGAATCTGATTGTGATTGTGATTTATCTATATATCAGCTTTACTAATTATTTATCGTAATAGCGAATTTCCATATTTCACGTATTCGTATATATGATACATTATATTTTTTAGCTAGAATCGGTAATGCATTTGCTGTGCCCTTGGCAGTAATTATATCACTAATTGCTTCGGGTGATAAGTGTGTCACATCTGATCTTAATTTTTTAGACATTTGTATATGTGGAAAAAATTTATTTCGCGATTTATAAATGAATGTTAATTCGCATGCATGTGATTGTGGAAAATGATTTATACTTGTTATACGATATAAATTGGCCGCTGATAATCTATGCCTTCGTTGATATCTCGATTTCAATTTCATTTGGAGAGAACATTTATATAAATTGAGTATAGATTTCTTCACATTCTTTCATCAGATCATCGAGCCATGCAGTACTTAAACCGTTTTTTTGTATATCACAACGTAATAACTCTTCACCAATTAGCCTATTCCGATCTGTTAAAAATTTATGATATTTTCTGATATCTTCATTTCTTTTTATTCCTCCATGATAAAGGCATATATTTCTTTCCAAGTCAGCACGGAAGCATTCCATGGATCATCTTTTTTTTTTATCTACAGTAATGACTGAAAATTTCTCGGGATCCATTTCATATTCGATAGCATATTGGCGTAAGCCAGCTTCTGGCTGATAAAGGTGGGTTTTATTTGGATAAACTGGTGAGTTACTGATTTTATTTGATACTCTTACCTGAGCTTCTGACAAACTCTGTACAGCAATTATAACTTTCTTTTGATCGATGCGAAAAAGACAGTTAAGAAAATAGTGATCGTCTTTACTTAGACAGCTCAGTTGTCCCATATTCCTAAACGAGTATGTACTTTTTTACATATCAGACATTTAGCTTCTGAGTCAGTATATTTAAAAACATCTTGATACCATGCATTTGAATTAGTGTAAGACAGGAAAAGGAAGCATTTATGTACTACTTTATGGATTGTACTTTTCTCTTCCAGAAACTTGAAAATTTTGATGATAAAGTCTTGTGAAAAATGATTGTTGGCATTCTCTTTAATTTGTTTAGATTTGGAAGTTTCAGAGTTTATCCAAGGATCAAGTCCAGTCTCTTCTGTATACACCCTATATAAGCTCAAATGAATTTTATTTGTCAATTGACTCAGTGCATCAACCAATTTAGCATGCCAGTTCAAATATTCGGGGGTTAAGATTTTATTCATATTATTACTTTATACAATCGCAAATTCAAATTAAGTATAAGCTGTGACTTATCCTTTGGCCATAGACGTAATTAAAAAAATGAATATAGCTAATTAACTTATAACCAGAGAATTTATACTTTGATGATTTTATTGTAGAGCAATGATTCTTTGAATCTACAATTTATGTTGTTATTTCGATTTCATGCTTTCCACATATAATAAAATAGGATTCAACTTCATATCTACCTTTTACACTTTTTCCATCTTCATGATTTAATTTACATATTGGACATAATGATCCCTCAATGATATCATAGTAATTGAATTTTTCAGTAATAAATGTTTTATATAGATTAGAATATCTGTACAATATCTTATTACAAAAATAATCACGATCATGAGTCTGTTTCTCGGGTAAGGCTTTTCAGTAATGGATTCTGAGACGAATGGTATACATAGCTTGGTCTCTGGTAAAGATTTAACATCTTCATTTATCACATCTTCTGAATTGCCAAAGGTAGTCACTTCGTGACTAGAGGTATGCAATGACTGAATAAAGAGGGTGATTATAGTACTTACCTCTGTTTCAGACAAGGTTTTCTTGGTTTCCGTAGTCACATAATTTTGATCATGACTATTTTCCTTATTTTTGGTCATGATTGATGCTATACGATTTATAATATTTAAAATTTGGGTATCAGTTAATTCTGATATACTTCTTGTTCCGTATAAAATTCTGTAAACTTTATCAATACCTATACCTTTAATTTTTTTTTTAATTGTGGGATCGATAATCTTTTTAAATATTTGTAAACGCTTCCAGCTCTTTGCGTTTTCTTGCGTAGATTTGCTTCTGAAACTTTAGGTAAGGAAGCTTTAATTATAGCATAAACTTGACTTTTTGCGGTTTTCTCACTGACACCAGTTTTAGTTCAAATTTCAGTAACAGTGTTTTGATACAATTTTCTATAAGTACACCAATATATGATTTCTTTCTGCTTAGCCTTTATTGTTTTTCCTTCTACAATTTTAGCATCAGAAAATAATTGAGCTAGCTCACATCCATTTTTATCTTCACTTACTTCTATATTGCTATCTTGAGTTTTAGGAGTATTAGTTAATGAGGTAAGTATTTTTTCTTTTTGAATAAATAAGATTACTTCTTGAATTATACCCTGCTCTATTTTCTGATTGTATGGTATTTTTACTTCAGAAGAATAAAACTCTGCTTTTCATACCTGAACAATAGGAGATTTCTGATTCAAAATATACATGTCTTTTCTAGTTTGGTCTTGATTAATAGAAGATAAGTCTTGATCCCAAAGTTTCTTTTCTTTAATGGCCTGAATAATCTCTTCACTTTTCCTTTCCTTACACTTTAAATTCAGGAATTCATCAATCTCCTCATCTTCCAATGATTTACGAGTCTTTGACTTCTGACATACGCCAGAATTTGAAGTGGTATCAGATATATCAGATGCATTTTCTGACATTTGTTTAGATGTATCATCTTGCGATAAAGAGGTTGCAGAGAGTAGAGGTGCGATCCGAATTGATCCGCGTGATCCATAATCTGTGTTATCATCAAATTTTCAATCTGTCATCCGTTATATAGTCAATTCGATCAATCCGTGAATTATCCGCAGATTATCCGTCCAATCCGTGAATTATTTTTTTTCCCATAGATAATAAATTATAATTATTTACATCCAATAGAGCGAT